CGGCTATAAATAAGACATCTTCTACCCAACCAAAAAACAACCTACATCTGGAGAGCAAGCTTAATCTCTCACCTCTTAAACCTCTGCAATTTCGAGCCTCATCCTTCCATCTCTTCCCATTTTCCCTTTTGGTAAACGTTTCCAAAGCTTGATAGAGTTTTCGCTGAGTTGTCGGAAACTACCCAACACACCCACTACTTCAGCATTAGCTAAAACAACCACATCCAGAGAGCAAGCTTCCTCTCTCACCTACAAAACCCAGAAAATTCATGCTATATTCATCCTTTTTCCCCCAAGAACGCATAAATTTCTCTTCAGTGCTAAACTCATGTTAATTTTGCTTCCATGCCACAAGCCTCTCATGCCAAGCTAGAAAATCTATCTGTAAGCTGTTGTTATTTTTGTTGGTGAAGGTAACCAAGGTGTTTCCTAAGGCATCTCTGTCCTTTTGAAGCATTTTTGGGGCTTGATCTTCGAACTCAGGCTCAAGGGGCAATTTCATCCATTTTGCTATTTACGGCAGCCCAGGCACGTAGTAGCTGCCGGAACGAAAAAGCCCCTACATAAATTGGTGACTCTGCTGAAGATCGGGCTGTTATCTTCACCAATGCCTCCAAGGAAGAAGGCCAAAAACAATAAACCAGAGAAAATAAAAAGATAAGAAAATTTCCTCGTGCCTTTTTTCCTTTATTCGGTGTCCACTTTACAGAACAAGCATAATAAGAGTTACTGACATGTGCCTTTTGCTTGTGTCTTAAATCTCCATTCTCAAGCAAAACCAGATCTTGTACGAGGGTTGGGGGCTTAGGCAAATCCATCATTCATGCCATTGAAGCGAACTACACATGCAAACTCCAAAACACTTGAGGGCTTCATGCCAAGCAAATCTGTATAAATAAAATAAATAAATAAATAAGAGTCAAAATTCAGTTCCAAATGACTTAGGGGATTCCTGCCAATTGAAAAAAAAAAAAAAAAAGTCAAGCACAAGCACTTCAAGGTTTCTCATGCTAAACCAAGCTATGCCTCGGTTCCAAGCTGTGATTCAACATTATTCACATCTTCAACCAAGTCCAAGCTATATACATTCATTCATCACTGTTTCCACCACTTGCCTTATTTTTTTTCAAACCTTCTTAGCCTCTACCCGATTTCAATCCATCCTTACAACAATTAAACAACCTCATTGCATCTCTAAAAGAACACTTGAAGTGACATCAATGATTAGCTTGTTCTTCTTGTGCTTTGGAACCTCTAAATCAAGTCTGAAAAAAGATACAGACGCTGGAGAGGTACTCGTGGAAAAAAAAAAAAACAGAGGTGCCAGAAGAATATTTTCTTACATTCTTCCAGCTCCTACTCTACAAGCAAAGAATTTCTGGCACTTGCCTTATTTCAAATCTTCTTAGCCCCTGTCCTATTTCAAACATCATGCTAGTGTAGATGCTCCTTAACCCCCAAAGCTCAATTTATCCTTGCAACAATTCAACAAACTCATTACATCTATGAAAGTAACCAAAAACTCACCTTTATTCTATCAAGTTCCCAGCAAATCAATAAGAAGATGACATTCCTCATGCTTTGGAACCTCTAAATCAAGCCTGAAAAAGAAACAAGGGAGTACATTGGCCAAATCAGGTGCCGGAAGGGAACTCGTAAATGAAAAGGAGGTGCCAGAACCATAATCATTATTGAAGCATAATTTTTTTCGAAGCCAAGTTGCAAGCAGCCAGAACTCACTTTGATGCTATCAAAATCCTAGAAAATTAGACTTCTCATGCTTTGGAAGTTCTAAACAAGAGAATACGTTAGCCAAAATCAGGCGCCGGAAAGGTACTCATACACAAAGGGAGGGCCAGAAGCATAATTTTCTCATAATGCAAGCAAACTCATCTATCAAGCATTTGAAAATTCACAGGGCGTAATACCAATCCACATGCCAAGAAATTTCATTTCATTCAAGAATTCCATGCAATTCAGACATTTCAAACAAATTGAAGAACTCATGCTCTTGCGACAATACCATACAATATCAAGCTCTCACGAAAATATTGCTCAAGATCATCCTCTAGCAATGCCCATATCAGCACTCAATGCCAAGAGAAAGGACATGCTAAATTCTCAAACAAAAGCAACATGCCAAGCAAATCTTATACACAAGCTTTCCAACCATTCTAGCTAGAACATCCCAGCTTTGAAAAATCACTAGAAATCAAGCTTACAACCAACAAATTCCAAACTTTCCAGATTAGAACTAGACATATCAAGCTTTATTTTTCCAAAATTTCGTTGCATTTAGAGCTAGGGAAGCATGTCAAACAGATTCTCAAAACATGCTATGCAGCAGAAACTACACAATTCCAGCATATTAGCCCTTTAAAATTTCACCAATGATTCATTTTTTCTTCAAAATGGCACAAGACTAGTTCCAACATAACTATGGAAAACTTCATTTGCATGCATCAAAATCTCCAACTCGGATTCTAAGAGAAACATTTTGAAAGTTCAAAGAACAGCCCACAAACTACTATGAGACATTTCCACAAACACTTGGCATGCATACCCAAGTAAGCTTGCATGACTCTTGTTTATCACCAAGCTAGAATCTTAACTAAAAGCTCAACCTCAAAATTCGATTTATAGTTCACAAATGCTGGAAAATACAGAGGAACTCAAGCATTCAAGTATAGAAAACAACCATGCAACAAAGGCATCAACATCAACTCATGAACATGCTTCAGAAAAATGGAGGCAGAGAGCACTAGAATGGGTGGATCATCCTCAATTTTGGATATGTTATAAACAACATAATTTCGAGCAAATTCTGTGAAGCAAACGCAATCATCCAAGCATCATAATTTAAAGACACATGCAGAAGCAGAATCTGCAGAAACTCATCAGCCATTGATAAATGCAGAAGTTGCAGACCAGCTTTAAGGTATCAGAAAAATTATACAAATTTTACATATTATAGTACTCGAGCAGATGAACAACTTTCATCAAGGAAGCTTTCTAATCCGAGCTTCCGAAATATGACTTATGACTTATGTACTGATGCACAATACCCACGGGTGTGGGTCTTGAAGAAGAAGAAGAAAGAAGAGAATGAGAGAAAACCAGAAAATAAATCATGCCAAGCCAAGTCACGTTCTTCCAACACATGCCCTATTCCATGTCAAACAAAACATTTTTCAGCACCTACCTTGTTTCAAATATCCTTCCAGCACCCGCCCTGTTTCAAATATCCTTCCAGCACATGCCCTATTTCAAATATCCTTCCAGCCCCTGCCATGTTTTTAAATATCCTTCCAGCACATGCCCTATTTCAAATATCCTTCCAGCACCTGCCATGTTTCAAACATCCTTCTAGCACCTGCCCTATTTCAAACATCCTGCCAGCACCTGCTCTATTTCAAATATCCTTTCAGTACATGTCAATGCCAAACATCCAAGCATACAAGCCAAAATCAAGCGTACACAACAATGCCAAGCATCCAAGCATACAAGCCAAAATCAAGCATACACAACAATACCAAGCATCAAGCCAAAATCAAGCATACATGCCAATGCTAAGCATCAAGCCAAGTACCAATAATACATGCCAATACCAAATATATACGTCAAAACCAAGTCAATGCAACTCTTGCAAACCACAATCATGCAAAATCAAGCCTCTCTAGTCACTCAAGCAAATAAATCACGCAAGCTAAGTAGTTATCTCGAGCTAATCCACCAAGTATTTTCTTCTATATCATGCCGGAAAATAGGTCAACTCTTGGTAACTCTAGTAAGTGACCTCCAAAATTACAGTGTCTAGGAAAGTTCTTCAAGGCAGCACCCTCGGTGTTTAAGAAAGATTGGGTTTTACGTGGGACCATTGCAACCCCTCCAACCTTCCCCGAAAAAACCTGACTGTAATTTCAGAGACACTTAACTAGTCATCCTTGAGTTGTTCCTAAACCCATGCCATGCCACTGCCATTATTTTGGGGTTGAAAATTGATTATTTGGACTATTTCAATACACATTCATGGCCCCAATAATCAAGGGGGCTAATGTTGATGCCCAAAAAATCCACAGTTTGGCCCAGAGCAATACCTTATTAGGAAAATACCCAATTTGGAGCACGCAAAAGTTCGTTATTCACGTTCGTACAAGTCATGATCTACGTGCCATGCCAAATAAATATGCAATTCGTCATGCTAAAAATTGAAATGAGCCTATAAAAGGCACTGGCTCTACAAGCCCATGCTAAATTGAATTTCTTGTCCCGCTTCAGGGACGATAAAATTAAAGCATGCCAAGCAGGAAATCATTATTTCACACCCAACTACGCTAACAAGCCTAAGTGGGCCCAAGTCACTCAAATGCCCGGGGCTTGCTTAAGTGGGTTGTGGTATGAATAGTAATAAGTTGACATGAGACCCATTGATGGGCCGAGATATGGAAGTCTCGTGGTTGCTTGGGAGCCTCGGAACTCAAGCCCATTTCTTATGCCCAAACATGTGGGTGAGCACAAAAGAGAAAATAGCCCATCACTTCACCCAAACTAGTCTAATACTTGATGAAGTTAGCCCATTTGTTTGATAAATCAACTTGTTGTCTTAGAAGGCCCATACAATTACAATAAGGAGCTACAAAAGCCCCACCACTTGGTTGAGACCTTAATCCAAACAGCCATTCTTGTAATACTAGCAGTGGAAGGACAAAAACCTGACCTCCATTTATGTATAGTTAAATACTGCCCAGCTATGATCCAAGGCCCTTCAGTCAAAACATAATTCAGATCTTCCTCCACCTCAAATTTAACAACAAAATAATCATTCACCAAGTCCACCAGCTTCCATCCGCCATTCAAACTCCATTTTTGCTGCAAACGATCATGAAGGTAATTGTAGGTATATGACCTCCCAAGTAACTTGATTATCAATGCATTTTGTCAAGGCTTACAAAGACAATCCATAGCATGCTCTGAGAATTGGATACTCGGCCCACGATCACCTCTCGAAATCACAACATCATCCTCATCATTAAGCTCAGCATACTCAGCATCTAAGGAATTCACATCAAAACCCACATTTTTAATCAAATTCACTTTATTCATCAATTTATCTCGGAAGCTTTCAGTACCAACTTTCAAATTCAACTTCGATTGCAACCCAGAGTCAAAAATCGAAGAAGGAACACCATCATCCTCCATAGCACACTCCAGATCGCCATCATTAACAATTCGAGACCTCTTAAAATGCCTCAAGTGCTTAGGAAGCACTCCAGGGGACCCTTCCTCCATGAATCCCAACGAATCACAAGAACCCAGTCAGCAGAGGACACAAAATCCAGCCAGAAACCACCAAAAAAGGCAGTTTCTGATGAAGAAAAAGCAAAAACCTCGAAAACGGCTCCCTCTCTCTTTTTCCTTAGGTCGTCGCAATGAGGTAATATTTTCATATAAGCACAAATCTTTACACGTTTTTAAGATTAGTTTGGCTTGATCTAATCGATGAAGCCTTTACTCATGTTAACTACTTTTTATGTAAGATTCAGTTAGTAAATTTTCACCCTTTCAAATATAAACCTCTTAATAGAGAGGGTGATGTAAATGAATTACAATAGGTAGGTTTGTGTTTTAAATAGAGCAGTGCATATGTGTTGGTTTTTGAGTTGTGTTGTGCTGATATCATTGTTGGTTTGTAAGTGAAGGGATTTAGGAAGTACAAGAAATAGTTTCATGAGTTTGAATCATATCTGTGATGAAGGATCCTAGCTACAAATCATATTGAAAGATGGACCATTGATTCTTTCTTTATGACTTTTAGTGAGACTTGAGAAGACATATGCACTTACGCTTATATTTGATGATCAAGACACTACCAGGGCATCGTAGAACCAAGGGAGGTTTATGCAGCCTGTGTATCTAAGTTAATGACACCTACCCTACAAGAGGTTATGTTGAAGTTGTTGGAATCTCTAGCTGTTACTGATAAGGTTTACTACTAGGATTCCTAGTTTTTAGGGTTGTTAATCACGTAGGAGTCCAATAATGACAGGACCCGCCCCGAATTTTTCACAAAACCCGAGATGAATCCTGCGGAGACCCCGGCATCACACCCATGCCGGGTTCACTCCTTAAAAAGGTAACCTCCTTCTTCAAAAGGAGTAAGGGCACGAGACTTTCTGCCGAAAATTCGCCATAGTCTCCCCTATAATTTGAACATTTCCCAAAATTTTCACCTGCATAAAACAGAGTTTTATAACCCAACCGGTAGCACGCACAATATAAGTTTATGCAATTCATCTAATTGGCCTCCGGCCTTCAAATATTCCCAAAAAGAGCTGCCAACAAAGTCGTTAGATAAAAATTTCCTTAAACATGGCAAGAACAAGCTCAAACACACTTATAATTGCCGAAAGCAAAACTCACCATAAATTGATATCCTAATCCCACATAATCAATATCACTCAACAACTCTCAAGACCTGTCACTAGGGTCATTATAATCTTCCTAGGAAGGTAACACTACCTAGGAAGTCTCACGGTCAACCCAGGGTCAAACTACCCAGTCTCGGTTAAACAGGCCCCCGGGTCCACGACCTTCAATTTCCGATCCAACCGTTCCTATAGGTCCTACAAGGTCTAGGACACACGTGCTCCAAGTTTAATCCGGATCGGACGGTCAGATCGCTCACGATCGGACGATCGAACGGTTACTAAAACCCTAACCCTAGGGTTGGCTTATCCGGAGTATCCGGGACTCCGTTTTACGATCCGTCGAATCCTATACGATCCTAGTACTGCCTAGATCAACATATTATAATCTCAGGACCATCCAACGGTCCAAACCTA